CTGGCAGCCTGCCAATCTGAAAGTACATAAATAAAACGAATAATTCAAAAAATGCTAAAAAATTTTAAATCACTGCCTTTCGTAATTACTAATTTATGCCTCTGAATTTACTGCTCGAGATCTGCATCTGGGCAAGTACATTTAATTAACACGTCAAGCTACCATATCAAATTCAAGATTTCTGAAGTATTATTCAAATATACAATTAAAAAAAGAGATGAAGTCATGCAACTCCAAAAACAGTGTTCCGTGCTTTTTTTACATTTTTCACAAAAATAAAAGAAAAGCGACGGGAATTCTTCACTTTAAAGGAATGAAATTAAAAAATGGCCCGGGGAAGGACGAAGCATCAGATGAAAGCATAAGTTCCCATGACCCATGACTTTTGCGAATACTTGACGATTGATGAATCCATGCCAACAGTGCTGGTTCTCCGGATTTTCCGTGAAAACAGAAAATTTTTTAAAACTTACTTTATCATTTCGAGCTGTAAACCACCATATATGAGCGATGCCCACAATTTATCAATATTAAAACCGGTATCGGAGAGATTCAGACTTCGAAGGCTGGTGCATAAAGACAACAACTGCAGTAAATCACTTACATCCTGAAACTAATTTTCCAAGTAATTTATAACTGAAATTACGAAAACTAACAGTCATTTCCAGATTTTGATATTTCCAATAGTTCTTTTCGCGGGTGCTGCAATAACTAAATAGTCAGCCTACTCGTCATTCAGGCATTATATCCTTGTTTATCCTAATTTTTCTAGCCTTATAGGTTCCTTTACCATAACTGTTAACGTTTTTTTAGACCCTCCACTAACAACACCAATAATTTACAGGTGAAACTGAGCAAAGAGTTGGTCGTATACAACACTGGGTTCAAGACATTCAAAATCCCACTGGAATCTAGTCACAAAGCCTTAATTGTGCGTACATAATCAACAAAAAACGGTCTTAATCTGTTACGATGAACAGTTATCTACAAAATCTTTACGTTTGTTCTTTTTCGTTTTGTGAAATATTACTCGAAGCTATCGAGTGGGGACCTCTCTTCGCAGTATTTGAATCAACGCAAACGAAAAACAGATTTACATCTTTTAAAGTGTTTCCGGAAAAATCGAGCGAAACGAAGTGTTTGCAGTCCGGCGTTGCATTTGCCCGTATTCCTTGCAAAATACCACAGCACACTTGATTGACAATTTTTTCAGACAAAGCGCATTCAGCCAATGTTAACGATTGAAGGGAAGTGAGTTTCGGAAAAACAGACGATAAGGCGACGAAACCTGAAACAGGAAGCACACTCACTGATCGTACGAAGCGCCAAGACCAGCACAGTTTGGAAGTGTGAATTATAACAAACTTTTTTTATCATCCAGAACATTCCTGGAAAAATCGATTTCAGAAAGGCGAAGAAATATGTTAGTTTGTACAGCATTCGCAAATGAAGCTACGAAATCCCTGAAATCATTCACAGTCATTTGCACCGCATCAACGGAAAAGCCGTCCCATGCCTCATTGAGGTGAAAGTGTGCTACGATGAAACAAATGCTAAGGGGCTGATGTAACAGGAAAAGGCTAATTGGGTAGGCTGGCCAGCGGAAAATAACACTTACAAAGTAGCACATGCAATTTGGAAAATACGCTGCCATGCAAAGACACTGCTACATAGGAAAAAGTCGGTTTCCTTAGGTATCATCGATTCGTGAACAGGCGGAATCCCCACTGTCACGGGAGGGGCGGCGGAAAGGAGGATTATTTGGAGCGTTTCTTCGTGACCGTATAAGCAATCAGGCTCTCCGCATACATTTGGATTGAAGGATATCGTTGGGATTGTGACACAGGTTAAAATCGAATGGAAGAACATGATGCTCGCTTTGACTGCAGCAAAAGTGGGCACTGCGTTGCCAGCAAAACCAACAGCTTCTAACACAGACACACAACAGGCAAGGGTTATAAACCTCGTACCTCAAAAGGACAGTGCACCCAACCAGAAAAAAACACAGCTCCAACGGTACTGCTATTAATTTAAACCACCTTCGCCTTACTTCTCAAGCAATCTTTGAAGGTAGGCCCAACTTCTTATGAAATCCCTTAAAGTGGGGTCACTTTCATTCTTGTAAGGGATAGCTAATATCTGTAAACGGCATCATTCGCACAGCAAAAAGTCATTTTTGCCTTCTTTTGTAAAAATAGGGAAAAACCGTTAGCTAAAATTAAAGAACAGCTTACAGACCTGGGACGATGTCGCAATGAATTTCTGGTTTAACATAAGTCAGGCCAGTTAGTCCTATGTTTTAAGAAGCTTAACTATGAAATTATTGCCAAAAAAAAG